CTTTTTCTTTTTGACCGTTTTTTTATTTTTTCTTTCAAGTTCGTTTTTCTTAGATGAATTGGGTTACTTTCTCAAGTTTCCCCTATGTGTCATCGCTTGAAACTCGGGGCCCGACCATTCAGCAGCGACCGGGCCTTCCCTTCAAGTTGGCCGACCCCCCTAAGGCTGCGGCGCGTATACGGGAAGGCCCGCGGCCGATACTAGTAGCTAGGTCAGGTACTGGTGGTTTAAGGAGCAAAAAAATTTGGGGAACCGGTCCTTGCCAAAAGTGCGAACTAGTACCTATTGACTTACCGTGAGGGCACGGGTGTGCAGCCCGTAGTTCGTTTGTTTATGCGGTTCGAGAAAGGTAAGGTAGTGATTATACTGTATGTATGTTTTGTCATGTTCGCTATACACAACTCAAAGAGTGTGTGTGCAGGGGGTGTCGGTTGGTGCTTTATTCACGATGTTCATGGGACACTGGACCTAGTTTCCAGCAGGTGGCGCTATCCATGATCAATAGACAGGAGAATGTATGTGCGTGTGTGTGTGCATATGTGTGTATGTGTGTGTGTGTGTGTGTGTGTGTGTGTGTGTGTGTGAAAAAGAGAGAGAGACCTGCAACATGCAGCACGTCAATGGCGGGGAGAACAAGGGCAGGCGCTGACCTCCAACAAAACGAAAAAGTAATTTTATCGGAATACAAAAAAAAATTCTTTTCGAAATCCGAATAGAAAGGGTACAGGTTGTATTCGAATACAACGTGTACATTTTCTATTCGGGGAACTCTGTTATTCGAGAAAAGTGTACCCGCACCGTTTCAATTTCAAAAAATGATTGTGGCCTCCTTGGCCTCCTATGCGGTCCTGGCCGTTGCAAGGCCCCAAAACCTCAAAATGCCCACCCTTCCGACGACCACTGACGTTGAAATTTGATTGATGTTCTCAGGGGGGAAGACGCAACCATCGAGGAACTCTGCTATTCGAGAAAAATGGACCCGCACCGTTTCAATTTCGAAAAAGGACTGCGGCCTCGTAGGCCTCCTACGCGCAGCTACTGGTCCTACGCGGTACTGACCCTTGCAAGGCCCCAAAACCTCAAAATACCCATCCTCCCAATGACCACCGACGTTGAAACTTGATTGACATTGAAATGTCTCAGGGGGGAAAACGCAACCCTGACGGACTGCGAATAACTAGCTCTGGTAGAACCGGGACTTTTGGAAAAAGAAAGGACCGGTCCTCGGGTGTAAGTGGACCCCGAAAAGAAGTGGGGGGCGTTGGACGGCTCCAGGGGTGAAAGCGGACCCCAAAACAAAGTGAGGGCATGCGAATTGCAAAGGGGCCCTCAGGCAAAGCGGACCCCAAAACAAGGTGGTACGGTGGGACAAAAATGGCACGCTGGGACAGGCTTACGCCATACCCAAGCACAAGGATGTGCGATGATGGAGGCCGATTTGCCCTTCGTTCTGCGAAAATGGTGCTAGAGGGTGCCGGAAGGTGTCACGGGCAATCAATCAGATGATTTGAGACTTACCGAAGAGGACGCATTTCAACTTGAAGAGCACTTGCTGATTGATGGAAAGTGTCGAAGCCGTAAATAAAGATCTGAAGGAAGGAGACAAATTCCTCACAGCTGCTTAGAACAGAAAAATTCCCGCGAGAAATGAAAGTTGAAAAAACATTCCATAAAAAAAAAATCCTTCATATTTATAAATTATCATTCCCATGTTTGTCCAATTCTAAAATTTTCAGTTTTATTTGATAAGTTTCCGTCTAAATATGAGTTTTCCATTCCAACTACATCTATTTGTTCAAGATGGAATGGAAGTCTGGACGAGTTTATGAAATGTTTTAATTAAAATTTCATTCTACTACAATAAATATCTTCTAATTTAGATTGGATTAACCTATTTATGACTGAAAATCCTTACTTAGAATGACAGTCCAATTAAAATATTTCATGAACTCATCCAGACTTTCATTCCATCTCTAACATGCAGTTCAAATAAGAAGGGATACCCCATTCTTGGAAGGAAAGTTCTCAAGTAAGACGAAAAATTTTAAAATTGGAATGACATTTTTTAAGATGGAATGAAAATTTAAAATTTAGAATGTAATTTTACTATAGAATGAATATTTAATTCTGGAAAATTTTTCTGTTGTTTTCATGAAGGAGATGTTTTGCAATCTCCCACACGTGTCGATTGTTCGGGCAATGGAGTGGTTGATTGATTTTTGGGTACAGCATGAGGCTAAAGGTGTTCTGTTAAAGAAGAGAGGAAAAGGTGCAAAGATGATGAAAAGGAGAACGCAAGAGGAGTGGCTTACTCTGAGGTTTGACGCGATCCTGGAATTTGTGAAGTTCGATCTCGTGAACACGTATGTTATAGTGTCTGTGGGCAGATTCTGAAGCAAGAAGTAGGAGTTCCCATGGACAAACCCTTTAGTCCTGCGATTGCTTGCTTTCTTTTTCTGAATTCTCGTTCCTCTCTGCTCTGGGGTGGATAGAAGTTTGATTCATGGTGTTAGACTCATCGATGACGTTTCAGTTTTTGTTAGATTTAGGAAGGACAATGAAGCATCCTTCTGTAACGCTCAGGAAATTTTGAAGAGCTTTGAGAACTGTTACAATGTAAATCTAACTCTGGAGTGCACTGATAGGTTGGGCAGTTGGGAGTTTTGGGGGTGTATGGTAAGGAATGTTGACTGGCCGATGGGGGCAAAATGTGCAGCAACACACAAGAATCAGAACTGTGTGTTGAGGGAAGGGATCTGCTCTCAGAACCTACAGGACGTGGGCTCATATGCCAACAAACAGCAGAAGTTTGTTGTAATTGGATCATTCCTACACCGTGCAAAGAGACTGACTAACCTTGAGGGCGCAAAGGGCTGTTTTTTGCTCTCATTGAAGGTCGAATTGAGACTGAGGGGCTTTTCGGATGAATGGTTCGATAATGCCCTGCGCAATTTTTCATGTAAATTTGGAGGAGTTTGGGATGGATGGGTGAAATACCTCACAGGGTGGGGTGGTTTGGGCGGACGCCAGGCCTGTAGTGGGGGCATCTAATAGGATTTTAGGGTAAGAAGGTTGACTGGACCCATGGTAGACTGGCCTAATGGGCCTCTGCGGATAGGATGGCAGGGGTTAGATTTTGTGACCACGTTTGGACCGATGGTACCAATGAGGGCCTGGATCGGCCTGACGGAGTTGGTGTACATCCGTCGAACTGTTGTGAACACTGTGGTACCACTTCGATTGCTCTACTTTTTCGATCTTGTTTATTTGTTCGGTCCTGGTTACTATTAATAGTCGCTCACGGCACTGTGGAGCTACCTCCGCCGTGACTTGACCCTTGACGATTCCGGGTTTGGCGACCGGATGAAACTAGTAGGGTCTTCACCAACGCTCGGCATGATCTCCACGTTTACGGGCACGATGCCCAATTTCGGTTCAAGCCTGATGACTTTGTTGTTATTGCTTGTTCATTAAGCCATCGGTCTCGTTTCGGGAGTGAACCATGTGTTGGTCCTTGACTATTGGTGTACTGATTCATGATTTCTCTCTAATGTTATGTTGCATGTTTTCCCTGTGTCTTCTTGTAATGACACTTATTTAACTCTATCATTGCTTGAGGTTAATTAACCACCAGGCGTTGAGGCCCGTCTTCTCAAAACAGGGAGGTCAGGTGCAACAAAACAGGCGTTTTCCAAGAGGCACCTTTGGCGATTTTCTGTGCTCGGAGGAACCCGCAGAAAAATCTGAATTTTTTTGAATCCATAGATGCGGTCGTGTTCTTTCTAGGAAAAATATTACAACATTTTGAGAAAATCATTTAGACCGAGAAATAATCATCGCGCCAATTTGGCACATTTTCCATTTTTGTCATTGAGCCATGTGTGGGCGAACTTAAAAAGTACTCCAAATTCATTGAGTTTTCACTTTCAAAAGAATGCGTGAAAAAACCTGAAAATTGGAGTACTCGTAGATTTTGTTATGATCTTTCCAGGAAAAACGCTAAATAAATTAAAAAAAATCATTCCAACTGCAAAATAGATCGCGGCCGCAATTTGACCCATATTTCAATTTTGTCATTCAGCCTCTCTCTCTCTCTCTCTCTCTCTCTCTCTCTCTCTCTTTCTGGTAGCCCCCCCCCTC